CCGCGGGGGCGGCGGGTGCGCGCGTGGCGCGGAGAAGCACCAGACGCGCCACCTCGGCGTCGTAGCTGGCCAGCGCCAGCTGGCCGTCCTCGGAAAGTGCGACCACGGGCCGCGGGCCGGGCGGGACCGGCGCGACCCCGGGCCCTGGGCGCGGGGCCGGGCCGTCGCCGCGCGGCGTCGGCTCCGCCGAGGCCGGCACGCCCCCTGCGGCGGCGCTGGCGCCCAGGGGCGCACGGGCCAGCCGCTCCAGCCCCGGCAGCGAGTGCAGGGTCAGCGTGCCATCTTCGTGCAGCGAGACCACGCCGCCCCCCGCCGCCCCTGCCCAGTACGCGGGGCTGGCAAAGGCCACCTTGCGCAGCGTGGCACGGCTGGCGCCCTCCACCAGCGTGCCTAGGCGAGGGGTGGGTGGCTTGACGCGTGAGTCTCGGGGAGGGTCTGCATGGACGACTTCCCAGGACCGCCTGCGCAGCAGGGCAGAGTTCGACGCACAGTGCACCTGAGGTGCCACGCGCCGGAGGGCAAGCATTTCTGCCCCCCCCCTATCTTTCCCCTTTCAGACCACCCAGCCCATGCAGCCTGCACCGCTCCCGCGCACCAAAGGCATAGAGGCGCAGGTGGTGCTCGGTGCAGACGACGATGAAGCCCGGCGCCTCGGCGGGCGGCAGCTCGTCTGGAGGCCCCGCGTCCGCGACCGCGCGGACCTCTGGGTGTGCGTCGCGCTCGATGCCATAGGCCGCCGCCAGGGCCGCCGCCGCCGCGCCGGGGCCGGGGGCCACGTCCGGCCCGGCCCCGGCAACGTCCCCCCCCCCGCTCAGGCCTCGAGGCCCGCGCCGAGTCCAGGGCGTCGCCGGACATGGAGCGCCCCGCCTCGACGCCCACGCCCGCAGGGCCGTCGCCGGCAGAGGGCCCCGACAGGGAGGGGCTGGAGGGGGCGCTCTGGCTGCGGCCCAGCAGGAAGGAGGAGGAGGCGGCGGGCGCCGGTGCAGGGGGAGGGCGGCTGGG